GCCCCCGAATCCAGACCCCCCACACTTGTTCATACCTGACTCCCAGCGTCGCTCGGGATTTTAACTTTGGGTGTATATGTGGATGTCTATATATTCAGGTACTATGTATATTTTAGGTATATATAATGAGCATATCTGGCTATAAATGTGATTTGTCAGTATATATCTATTTCCTCCGTGTATATCAGCTGCTGGGTTCACTGGAGGGGGAATTCATTTGGGGTTTCCATGCTGCTAAGACTCTTCAAAAAGGGAAAAAAAAAAAACAACCCACCCATGAACATTGGAATCAAACTGAAGTTGCTTTTCGGGCCGTGAATTGCAGAAATAACTGAGCTGGAGCGGCGACGGGGTCTTTGCAGAAGGGGCAGCCTCCATCCCCCCGGAGGGAAGGACCACACTGTATTTTTCTGTCTCTCTGCCGGCGTTCCCCTGGCTTGAGTGCTGCTGGGGGGAGTCGTGTAGCTCCTGTTCCCCTGGCCTTGGACCTGCCTCTTATCTCCCACCCCGTGGCACCTTCTCTTCTCCAGGACATGTCCTTCTGATGGTCACCCTGCGCAGAGGAGGCTTTGATGAGAGTGGGGCTGCTCTCCCGCTCTGCTCTTGTCCCGTCTTGCGTCCCTTCTCCCTCCCAGCATCTCCCAGCCGGGGCTTCGCGTCCGTAAGAACGTGAATATTGGATCAAATACGCTTGCAAGAGCAGCAGCTCAAAGACCTGCTAAAGCCGGGGCTGTTGATGACCCACAGCCTCCCAAGCAGCACGGTGGTCCCAGGGGAGTCGGACATCCCCCAGCCGCGCTGCTCGGGCTCCCCGAGTTTTGTTCCCCGGGGATTTCTTTGCTTTTCCTTTGTGGATGAACCAAAGAGAAAGGGGAGCTCCTGGCCCTTCGGCAAGGCTGCAGCACCTCCGTCCTTGGGCCCAAACTGCTGGTGTCCGTAAGGGGACAGAAAAATACGGAATTTTGGGGAAACGAGCCCCAGTCACCCAGGGAATGTAAACTCCTGGGAGGTTGTGATCCGCTCGGGGCAATCCTCGGTAAATCCCGCGTCCTCGAATTCAAGGAAAACCCAAAAATTTTGCAAAATGCATTAAAGATCCTCATAATACAGACACGTTTCTGCATCTGCAAACCAGGCTGCGCTCCCCACCCACCGCCCTCGCACTGGGGAAGCGCCCGGGGCTTTTGCCGTGCTGCTTTTCCCCCCCTGCACACCCCAACCCTTGTCCCCACCCCAAAAAGGGCACTTTTACTGTCACTTTACCCTTTTTATATTAAAACCAAGAGAAAGTCATCCCCTGACCGACTGCTGTGGCATCTTTGGGCGAGGTGGGGAGGGTTTCTGCGCATGATGGCGTGATCTCGGCTGGGGACGGGGTGTTTAGACGAGTCTGAGCTCTGATTTGAGTGAGAGGGATTTTTAAAAA